GTAAATTCCACATGGACCAGGCCACTACCTGTTCAACTCAAACACTGCAGATTCCCTTGAGTTCTAAAGTGTCTCCTGGGTCTCTTCAGTTTATCCAAAAGCCAAGCACTGGACTGTCCCTTAACACTGACTGGCAGAACAAACAAGAGAAGTGTTGTATAGAGCCAAGATGCAAGCAGCAGTCACCCACCAGGCTGGCTGGACATACTAGGGGAACAGGACTGGGAGGGACTTAAAACATGGACTAGCAGAAGGACCCTGAAGCCCAAAGACTCATTAGCTAAGCAGCTGGGTTGGCAGGAGCTCTGGTGGGAGGAACCTCTGGGTCAGTTTTCTCAGCAGCTGTCACCTCTGCAAGGGGGCACCTGCCAGGCTTCCAGACCCTGCCTGCCCCCATGTATTCTCACCAAAAGTCCACATTTTGTATTCACAGAGAACCAACGTGTTCACAGCTGCTCTGTAGGTGCCCTGTCTCTCTCTCTCTCTCTCTCTCTCTCTCTCTCAGCACACACACCTCCCTTCAGCTTTGAAGCTAGGGCAAGAACAGCTGCAAACCAGCTGTAGGGGGACAGGCTGTAGCTGATGCCAGGTCCTTTTCCACACAGGCCAGGCTGAGATCCTTCTGCCTAGGAAAAGAGGCCTCTACCCTTTTCTTAGCTCCCTTCCTCCGTGGCCCTTCCACAAGGCATAGCCTCTTCTATATATTTCATGTACTGCTTTTCTGTCAGCTCTTGCCACGGGGTTTTCCCTGGGCAAGCCAAGGGAGTAACTGCATAATGATTGGACGTAGGGCAGCTGCTCTGAACAAGACGTCAGCAGTGTCTCCTAGCCAGGTGCCCAGGCAGTGCAGGTACCCAAGACAGGTGCTCACAGCAGTAGATCTTCTCCCAGAAGCAGTGCTGGCTGCTCAAGAATGTGCTTCCCATATATCTAAAGGGCTAGGCTCCTCCTCACATTCTTGGCTCTAGTGAGCAAAAGAAAGGGCTTCTCAGGCTGTAATGCAGGCCAGGGGAGGCATGGTAGCTCCTCAAGATAGTCTAACCTTCTCCAAGCTTCTGGGGAATCATGTAAGCTAGAGTTGTATGGGTCCTGTCCCTGTCTGGGGTAACCTAGCGTCACATACAGAGGTGTACTGAAGATGATGAGCTCTGTCTCCCAACCCCCCACGCACAAGGTTGCCCTGGTTCCTGGGGAGTTAAAACAGCTGTGTAGTTTGTTACCTCCTCCTTAGGAGTCCTGGAGGCTACAGGAAATGCCTATTCTTCCTTCCTGTCTTGTCTCCCCCGACTGCCCCTTCACCCCCGCCTTCCCTTCCTCCTTCAAGGCATGGGAGGCCAGAGGGTAGGAGAAATGCTGCAGCTGCTGCTCTGAACTGCTAGACAGCAAGGATGTTCAGTTCCCAGCCTTGCTACAGCTGGGGTCCAGGTTGTTTCTGGGCCTCCTTGGAGGGAAGGGAGAGGGGCAGACTCAAAGACCGAGGTGCTGCCTGGATGGTCTGGGAGTTGCCTCCAAATTAGAGGGCCAGGCTGAGTGATTCAGTGGGCCCTGGACTGGGCATGCAGTTATAGCTTATTGCATATTGCAAACCACAGACACAAGGACCTTCCAGTCACAAAACCATAGTTACCGAAGTGCTGCCCAGGCCTATCGCCTAACTTAGAGGAAGAATGTCCAAGTGCACAGTGTACTCTTCTCCTGGCCACCATGCCAAACGGTCACCTCCTTACTACCCCAAGCTCCACCCAGGAAGGAAGACAGCCTCCCACCTACCACTGGGGCACATTTTTTTCTCAGGTGTTCCCTACACCCTCAGCAAGGAAAAGGCCCTCTTCTACATGTCCTAGTCTGCTCACTGTTTGTGGTGTCTCTAGAAAGTCTTCTTGGGCCTCTCTCTGATGTTGGGTGTAGTAGCTCTGTTGAGGCCACAAAGAAGAATACAAACCTGCCTTCTTGTAGAACTTGGCTATGCCCTAGGAGTCAACTCTAGTGCAGTGGTTCTCTCAGCCTGTGGGTCGTGACTCCTTTGAGAGTTGAATTAACCTTTCATTAAACTAAGAACGCCTTAGCCTAAGACCACTGAAAAACATAGATATTTACATTATAATTCATAAGAGTAGCTAAATTACAGTTATGAAGTAGCAATGAAATAATTTAATAGTTGGGGTCATCACAGCATAAGGAGCTGTATTAAAGAATTGCAGCATTAGGAAGGTCATGAACCACTGATCTAGTGGGGCATGGCAGCTCTATCTTGTGATCACTAGCTCCAGGGTAATTCTCTTGGAAGGCTGGGACTTTTGGAGGCTTGAATAACAACTCCTAGAACAATGTAGGCTCAGGCCAGGTGGTACCATATTTAATAAGGACTTTGTACACAGGTGCCTGGGGCAGTGGGTATATATTCTGTGAGGTTTCTTCCTTAAAATGAAAACCCTACCTAGGCATGGTGGCATGTGCCTCTAATTCCAGCACTCAGGAGGTAGAGGCAGAAGGATCAGGAGTTCAAGGTCATTCTGGACTATATAGCAAATTTGAGTTCAGTATGAGCTACAAGAAGCCATATCTCAAAAATTAAAACAAAAAGAAAGATTTATTGAAATATACTTGCTGGGTGTAGTAATGCCCACTCCTGTAATCTCAGCATTCAAGAGGCAAATTCAGGAGAATTACCATGAGTTCAAGTTTACTTTATCTCCAAAATGGGGTGGAAAGTGATAAGAGATATATAAAACACAAAGTGTGTAGTTTTTCATTCAGAGCACTTCTATTGTTTCAAACTGAAGACTCAGAACTGGTGAGATGACTCAGTGGGGCTGATTACCTCAGTTTTGGTCTCTGGGACGTATATGATGGAGGGAGAGAAACAACTTCCAGTGACTGTCTTCTGACTTCTACTCACATGTCATGACATGTACACCTACCCACTCCCCCCCACACAAAATAAGTAAAATGTAATAATTTTTGAAGCCCAGAAGATGCATGTACTCAGCTGTCCCTCCTCTATTCCCCTGTTCCTACTCCTCTGCTGTTTCTTTGAATCTACTGGAGAGCTTATTCTGGACATCTCACATGAACAGGCCAGACATAACGTGGCCTTTTGCCATTGGCTACACTCAACAAGCAGAATGTTCCTTATGTGCCTTGGACCTGCTTCAACCCTGGTCTCTGCTGACACGTTTAGCCTGGATGAGTAGGTATTGGAGTCCAAATCCACTGGAGATCAGGGCCGGAGTTTATGACAAAGCGGCTGTGAATAGAGAATTGGAGGTTCCATGAGGCTTTGTAGCTTCTAGGCTATTACTCTGTCAATGGCTGGGTATGTTTGAGTATAGATAGAACAAAAGCAAAAGCCAGGGGCTGGAAGTAGCTCAATGGGAGACCATTTGCTTGGCATACACAAGATCCTGCCCCCATTGCCAGTACTGAAAAGATGAGAAAAAAAATAAAAGCCTAAAAGATGTGACAGATGGGACATGGGAAAGTACTCTGCAATCCTGGCATTCAGGAGGCAGAGATGTGGAGTTCAAGACCAGCTTCACTTACAGAGTTAGTTGAAGGCCAGCTGGAGTTACATGAGATCCTGTCTCTAAATATATACATATACATACATATATGTATATATATATATAAATTTATATTTATATATATATATAAATTAAGGAATAAACAAACAAACAAACAAAGGAAGAGAGCAGACAGAAGCAACAGGCTCAGGCTGGAGGGCCTGTGTGCTCATCCCTCTCCTGGTCTGGACCATGGAAACCAAAGGTAGCTACAGGCTCCCAATCCATATCCTGCTTCTCCCATTTTCCTCCTTTCAGCAGCCTGAGGATAAGGTTCTTGAAGGAAAGCTCAACAGTGAGCTGATTCTGGCTCCAGGCAAAATCCTTATTGGAGACTCTGTCCTCAGCTGGGAACTTGCATTGACCTTCACCCCTCGCCTTGCCCTCTATCCAGTGGGCCTCTACCTCCCTCTGCATCTGCCCCTTTGAGATTTTCCCCTCACCTGAAGTTTCCTTGTTTTCTCTTCCCCACTCTTGGTCCCTCATTCCTTCTTCAGATTTCAGTGTGGCTCCTTGATTCAGTCTCTTCCACCATCTAAGGACATAGGAGAGGTAAGACCTCACTGGTTAGGTAGATGGTACACTAGGGACCATGACTCATTTTGGCCCTCCAGAAGCAGCTGAGATTTAGCAGGCTAGCCCAGTTAGGCCTAGAAAATGACCAGAAGAAATGCCCCCACCATGGCTACGGCCTCCTGGCCAGCCTTTAGGGGTTGAGAAAGAAGATGAGAAGTTTGGTTCCTCTTCTCCAAATGAGTTTTGCCAGCTTCTCAAAGGTTTCAAAGATGTGAACCAAAAAGGTCTCAAGAACCTGGGAGCAAACACCTTCTTAAAGGAGGAAGGGATGAAGAGGAAAGTCTTACAGACAGGAGCCTAGATCAAGCCTTTCGAGAAAACTACAATCCTTTAGATCCCCAAACTACCCCCTGGTTTCAGACCAGGCAGAGGGTCTGGGTGGAATTAGAACCACTCACTGTCTTAGCCATCAGGTTACCTCCCGCTCATCTTCCTCTCACTTTCTTCTGCTTGTTAGCTGCCAGCAACCACCTCAGTATCCCCATTTGGACAGTGGAAAGTTTGACTCTGGAAAGCTGTCTGCCCAGAGACACCAAGGATCTGTCCCTAAGTAAGTGAATGTGTGTCCTTTCAAACTGTGCTTGAGGCAGGGGCCAGAGTTGGGGGAGAGTGTGAGGGGGAGGGGTGCCACATAGCCCAGCCATCTACAAGAAAATTGCTTTCTTTGAAGCTGCCAGGGGGGCAGGAAGCCTGCCCCCTCCCTCCCAGCTGCCTTTCCTCCTTCCTTTGCTCCCTCTCTGCTCCACCAGCCCCCTCCCTCCTTCTCTCCCTCTCCACCCCTCCCTGTTTGTCCCCTCCCTGTCGGCCAGGCCCGCCCAGCCTTTAGCCTCCCTCCCACCGCCTCTGTCTCCCTCTCTCCGCGAACTGCCCAGGAGTGAGCAGCTGCTCCGGTTGGCCCTGCCTGACAGACACACCGACAGCCTGACATCCTAGCCCACCAACTAACCAGCCTGCACCTGGCTGCTTCCCCCTCCCCAGGTAGGGCCTAATCAAGCCTGAAACTGACTCCACTCTCCTCACAAAGACCTCAGTCTGCCCTTGCTGTCTTCATTCCTGACTATGCTGTCCCCTCAACCAACCCAAAGATGCTGGCAATCCTGTTGTCCCCCACCAGCCCTGCTGCATCTACTACCTCAACCTGTAGTCTTGCTGTCTCAGTGTCTGTACCTCCACTGCCTCCTTACTTCTTTCTTTATCTCCCACGGCATCCACCAAAGGCTCCTGGTTTGTGTTGTTTCATCAACACCCTTTGGTCTCTATCCCATTTCAGCCTCTTCTCCCCACACTCTCTCTCTTCCCTGAACTTTCTTCCTAGCCTTCCTTTCCCTTTCCCTTCTAAACTGTGCTCAGTTGCTAAGCTCACCCATGTTTTCCCTCTCTGCTTCTGGGAGGGTGGGCAGGGAACTCCCCCCTGGGCTACCTCCAGAGCATCACTGAGGCAGGGCTGGATGGCTGGCATGGTAGCTCTACCCACAGCCCTATCCCTTCATAGCAAGGTCCAGGCACAGCCTCCACTCCTGCTAGCCTTGCTCTCCCAGCTCAGCCTTTCTTGGAGGCTTGGCACCTGGCCAGGTCAGGAAGGATGGGGCCAATGCAAAACTCAGCACTGGCACAGTCTCCCCTTGAAGTAGTCTGAGAGACTTGTGCTCCCAGGCACACATCAGGCACCTTGCCCTGATATTCCACACTCACCACCGACTAATGCCCTGTTTCCACCCTCTCTTGAGCAAAGTGTGGGTCCATGGAGCCTCAGCTATAGGGATCCTAGATTGCCTGCCTGGTTACCTCAGTCCTATTTTCAGAACCCTCTTGAGCTGAGATGCACAATGAGCAGAGGGTGGGATGGAGTTAGAAAATGGTGCAATTGTGTCATGTTCCCAGGGACCAACATGGCTTGGGGCCCTGAGGGGCTGTCAAGGGATTCAGGAGAAACAAGAGAGACAGAGTCAATTGGGCATTCGCCACGTCCAGTGAAGGTTGGGGGACTGGAGTACCTTGTCACTGCCCTAGGGGTGGGACCAGGCTCCCATCTGCCCAGAGTAAGAGGTCCAGGACCCTACAAGGTGGAGCTGTAGTGGGGCCAGGCAGAGGAAATTGTCGTTAAGCCAAGGACATAGCACCTGGGTGGCTCTGGTTCCATCCTTAGGAGTTTCTGCCTGTGTTCCCCTCTTGTCTACCAGCTTTCTGCTTTGTAATGACTGGTTCTGAGACAAGCTGAAGATGCTCCCTAGGTGCCAACAAGATTCCCAAGGACTGGCATCCGGGCATACAATCAGCTTAGAAGAGCTTGTGGGTGGGCAGGGGTGCTTTGGGTAGAACATGACTACCTCTATACCCACCATGACTCCCTCCTGCTCTTCCTCCTTTCCCCTGCTCTCAAGTGCCCCACCCATTTTGTAGTCTGGCCTCCACATCCCAACGGTCTTGGCAGCAGGACTTCTCCATAGTAGGGAGGTAAATTGGTTGTAGGGAGACAACCCAGGGCAGGGTCTCACTCACACCAAGGAATAGAAGCAGTGTGAATTGATGTTCCTGGACACCCAGCCATGGATAGGCCAAAGATTGCAGAGCCCCCTCCAAAGACAAACTAACCGGCTCTGGCTACTAGGTTCTGGGGCAGTTAGCATCTTTCCTCGCTCCTTCCTGTTCTCTAGGGGACTCCTATTCCTTTTGGGTGTGTGTGGGGGGGAGGTCAGCATCACATATCACACCTTGGCCACCCACCATGTCCTTTCTGCAAATTTCATGGGGTGGGGTATGGGGAAGGGAGGGTGTTGCTCACACATTCAGATTTCAGAGGATCCTCCAGCCTTCCAGAAAGCAACAGATTCGGGTGTTCTCAGAATAAAGCTAGAGTTTTCCTCTGGGGCTTAAGAACAGGGCTTTCTTTCCTGTCCTCTTCCAGGTCAGTTAAGTCCCTTACCCCACTTTTACAGCCCACAGCCAAAGGCTCCCAGGATATGTCTGGGACTCCAAGTATGTCTCTTCACTCTAATTACCTTCTTCCTTATTGCTCTGAGTATGGGAAGCCCCAGGTGTGACCTTTCCAGCTTTTAGTTGATCCATGGGCTTATAGTTGATCCAGGAACCCAGTTAACCTGAAAAGAATGAAGCTGAAGAGGGTTTTGGCCTTTCCAGCTTAATGCATAGGGCTGAATCCCACCCCGGCCAGGTTCCTGACAAGTCGTAGAGATCCTGGTATTGGGTAGACAGTTCAGGAACCCCTAGACATGGGAAGAAAGGGGGCTCTCTAGGGTCTGGAACCTGTTGCCTTGCTACTCTATTCCTCCAGGAGTGGGGCTTAGGATGACAGACACAGTGACATCCCAGCCTGACTTTTATGTCACTGTCAGTCCCATGGGAAGAGTTTAGGACAAATTCTCTGAGCCTCTCAGCTTACTAGACACTTATCAAATGTCGAAAGTGTTATGGTCACCAAGGGTGGGGTAGATAAAGAAATCACTTGAGTCTCCTTTCCTACCATTGAGAAGTGACAACATCTTCCTGTTCTTTGAAAATTCTAGCACATGGTAAGTAGGAGCCCAGACTTTGTTGGTAAGTGGGAGGAGGTGAGTGGACACATGGGTCAGGTGCAAGGGGATGAGGAAACCTGGTACTTCCAACTTACTAAGGTCATTTGCTGTCTGGCTTCTTTCCAGAAGTTTCTCAGTAGGGCAGGGAATGAGGGATAGAAAGCGGTCTCTTGATACACCCAGCACTTCTATGTATCCCAGGCACTTCTGATACCCACATTCAGATAAAGCTCACCCCTAAGACTGTTGGAGAGCTGTATCTGACTACCCAGCTACTCTGTTAGTGCCAGGGCCACAGGTACTAAGATGTGCTCTGGCCAACGAGACTTGGATTCTGCTAACCTTGTGGCATACAGGAAAGCACACATCCCATCCCTCTGGTTGACACTCAAGTGTTAGGCTGGAGCTAGGTGGCCTTAAAAGGCAGCAGGAAGCAGGCCAGCTGTCAGCTTACCTTCAGAAGAAGGAAAAACAGTGCCTAGGGTCTCCTGTCTCTCATAAATTTTCTCACCTACACAGTCCCAGAAACCTAGTAGAACTTGGTAGAAGGGAGCACCTTGCATTTTTAGCAGTTGCGATAGGATTGTTTAGCAAGGCTCAATGCCTCAGGACAGGGCTGCTGAGACTGCACACGGTGTCTGTTCCTTGGCAGCTGCCAGTCCCACATCTACAGGCAAGCTCCCTGAGGCTGCCAGACCTCAAGCCTTGCCCCTGCCACCCTTGGCCTGGCCTAAATGCCTGGCAGAGCCCTTCCATGTTCTCAGAGACTGCCAGCAAGTCTTGCTTGGCTCTTGCCCAGAGCAATCCTGTGTGGAGAACTACACTGGCTTTCAGAGGGGCAGACAAGGAGGGCCCTATTGGGGTGGTGGCACAAGCTCCAGGAAGCCGTCTTTTCCCTTGTCCATCCCTGTGGTTGTGAAGCTCAGCTCACCATGATGACCACTTCTTTTTTTTTTTTTTGCTCTGAGGAGCTTTTTCCCAGCAAGCTCAGAGCTCACTTTGATGGAACACAAGGACATAACCAAAGAGTCCAATGAAGGTAAACTGAGGCCTGGAAGCCTGGGTGGCAGGGGGAAGTGGGATGGGAGGAACTTTCGATAGGTCTTACAGGATCTGACACCTTCCTGACTGCAACTTTGCCTGTCTTCTCAGTGTGCAGGGATAAGGGATCAGATTGAGGGAGTTGAAAAAGGGAGGAATGTAATACTATCTGCAGCACCACCACTATCACCATCACCCTAGTTAGTGATTCTCCCCATCCCCTGGCTGTCTGCAGTACCCACTTATAGACCCAGAATTTTCTAGAAGCCTCTGTCATCCATGGCCCAGCAGCAAGACTGGAAGCTCACTAGTGTGACCAAACCTGGACTCTGTTCAGGCTGAATAAACTGGGGTCTTGGGAGAAATCAGTTCCTCTTTGTAGGCCTCAGTTCTCTCATCATAAAGTGGCACTACTTCTGGTACAGGCACCAAGAAGGCTTTGATGAAATCCCCTTCTGTGGGCTTTGTGCTTGGCATAACTCCTTTCTTGCAGAATATGGGTACCTAGTCTAGTGTCAGTTTTCGGAGTGAAAATGAAGGCCGTGCTGGGAAAACTACCTGGCCCCTACACCTCAAGCCTTGAGCCCTGAAAAGGCATGCAGACTCCATCCTGCCTCTGCATGGGCCTTGAGCCTCCTATCCCAGGTTGAGCCTGGACTGAAATTGACAACAGATTGGGATTTTCCTGTATTACCCAGGGTCCTGCAGCTCCTTTTTCTGGGTGGAGGGGGCTTGTAATCTGAAGAGGCTGCGATGCCCACAAAGGAGCATCATGTCCTGAGTGTCTGAGTGCCACACAAGTCTTCTACAGGAGGTTTCTATGTTGGAAAGGGATGCCCTGTGGAGATTTCCAGGCCACTCTGTAGTTCCAAAGGATCTAGGTTGACTCCATGGAGATGGTCTTTTGTCTAATTGCATCCCCAATCCATGCCATCTTTCCTTGTAGACTCTGGATCCTATAGCTCAGCTGAGCAGAAATTCTAGCCCTGACTCATCTAGCTCCTTCAGGGTAGCAGCTTTGATAGAGGGGACAGGTAGGTGGGTGGTCAGTGCAGAGGGGTGGAGGCAGTGCCTTACTCCTTCCCTGCCATTCCATCTTGCTCTCTGGCTTCCCTTCAGCCTCTTTTGCCTGGTCTGGGCTGCTCTTCCTCCTCCTCCCAAGCCTTCCAGTCCTTCTGCCCTGGGCAAGATCCTACCCTGTTCTGGAGTCTGCTGGCTGAGGGAGAAATGGTCTTTCTTGATACTCTGGGGCCAAGACCTTCTGGGGGTGGGGGTACTCCGCTATGTCTTTCTGGGCCATCTTGGGTGGACATCTTGAGACTACTTGGAAGGAATGAAGGAGACTGGAAACTCCTCTAGCTGAGGACTACCTGTGACCTCAGGAGTCATCATCATAACCATGTCTGCATAGAAAAAAGCATTTGAGCAAAGCCTTTGGCTATGCCCCCTACTTTGTTGTGTGACCTTTGAGGACCTTTGAGAAGGCTGCTCTATTCTCTCCAGGAAGCAGCTCTAACCTCTGTGCAGGCCCTTATGTCCACTGATATACGATGGGAGCCAGGGAGCCAGGGAAGGCCATTGAGAACCACTGGGGTTGGGTCTGTCGATGTGGATACTCTCCTCCCCCACTAACCTAGGACTTCCCAAGCAACAATACAGGGTGAGATTTCTTCTGGGACTGACAGGCATTGTATGGGCAGTGCTTATGCCTAGGTCTAACCAAACCAGGATGTCCCAGCCTCCCCCTACCCCAACACACACACACACACACACACACACACACACACACACACACACACCCCTGCTGATTCTGAGGATTTTAAAACAGCAAGCAGTCTGCCCATCCCCCTTGTCAACTGAGTTCCTTCCACTTTTGCCTCCAGCAGTTGAGCTCAGAAGGTCTTATTTAGCCCAGATGGAGCCCCAAATATCCCAACTTTGCCACCAAAATGTACCTCATATGACGCCTCCTAAAAACGGGCCTGCTTCAAATCTTCATGAGGCTGGGCTTCCTGTCCACCCATGAACCAGGGCAACCCCAGATATCCAAGCCTAGGAGGCTAGCAAGACCACCACGGATTCCCTATTTAGCGGATAGAGCAAACAGACCAAAATACTCCGAGCCTTTGCCATTGAGTTGGGGAAGGAGGAGTACTAAGAGAGGCAGGGACTCCAGTTTTGTCCTGAAGTCTAGGCCCTGCTTGGGTGGTTGAATGCAGTTTAAACAGGAGGTGTGGGTGCTAGGGGCAGGCTCAGGCAGTGCAAAGTCTCCACTCCCACCCCACTGCCTCAGCCGGGGGGGGGGGGGGCAGGGGATCCAGACAAGTCTGACCCTGCCCAGTTACTCTGGCAGCAGCCTACTTTTCTTGGGATCCTCTCCAGAATGCCATGGCCATGGGCACAGACAAAGAGCAGAGGTAAATGTGGAAACCCCAAGTTCTATAGGCTGAGTCCTAGGGAATGAAAGGAAGGAAGATGAGAAGTGCTGATGGCCCTAATTCTCAGGATCCTTGTTTGGTGCTGCCTCAGTACTGGAGACTCTATCTTCCACCTCCCACCTCCCTTCCCTGCCTGCCCTCTCTCTCTTTCCGTTTCCCTTCCCCCCTCTCCCTCCCTTTTCCTCTCCTCCCACTTCATGCCTTGGCCTCTGGACCTTCTTAGAACAACATGGGCACTGTGGAGGGGCTCAGGCAGTGAAGGGGATGACTCATTCATCGCCCAGTTAAACTAATAGCATCTGAATCTTCCAAGCTCACTCAGGAGGGATTGGCCAGATGGCCTGTGGGGCTAATAGCTGGGCTTCATCTCAGTCTCCAATTGGCCTTGCTGACCCCCAGTCCTCAGACAGTGAGGCAGGATCTGGCTGACTCATTGGGGGAGGAGGGCAGCCTTGAGCTAATTGGGAAGATATTTCATTGCCCAATGAAACCAAGTCCTTCCAGGAAGAGGAGGGGAGTGGAAAGAGGCGCCTTCCTGGCCAGCCAGCACTCCTACCCTGACTGGTGCCTCTTACCCATGCCTCCTCCCTCTGCTGCCTCCTATCCATCCCTGGTGAGGGATGAGCAAACATATGGCCCCCTTCTCTCTCTCTCTCTCTCTCTCTCTCTCTCTCTCTCACACACACACACACACACACACACACACACACACACACACACACAAAATCCTATCCACTGCTGCTGGGAAGACAGACTGGAGACAGCACAAAAAGGTCCAGATGGTAGTGCTGTTGTTGACCTAAAGCTCTTCTTATTTTTTACTCCCAGGAACATTGGCCATGCGTCCCCTGTGGTTACTCACCTTGCTGCTGGCCCTGAGCCAGGCCTTACCCTTTGAGCAGAAGGGCTTCTGGGACTTCACCTTGGATGATGGGCTGCTCATGATGAATGATGAGGAGGCTTCAGGCTCAGACACCACCTCAGGTGTCCCCGACCTGGACTCTTTCACACCTACTTTCAGTGCCATGTGTCCTTTTGGCTGCCACTGCCACCTGCGGGTTGTTCAATGCTCTGACTTGGGTGAGTCACTAGGCAGTTAGGGTGAGAGTATACAGAAGCCCAGGCCCTGCCTGGGATCCCCTACTAAAAGGGACACATAGGCTTTTCTGTGAGATGGGTGTAGACTGGTAGGAGTGAGAATGGTATGAGTCACCACAGGCTGAGGTGTTAGAATATGAGTATATGAGGGTATCTAGTGTCTGACACATGAAAAGCAACTAGAATATGCAAGCTCTGAAGCTGGCACCTGTTGTCTCAGAGTCTCTATATTTGTACTAGTTTTGCTGTGTGTTTCCATATGCATGTATATGCCCACCACTTTACACCAGCTGTGACAAACAGACTGGGAGAGCCAGGCTTATGCTGGTGATGGTGCTGGCCCCCAGGTCTGAAGACTGTGCCCAAGGAGATCTCACCTGACACCACACTGCTAGACCTGCAGAACAATGACATCTCTGAGCTCCGCAAGGATGACTTCAAAGGCCTTCAGCACCTCTATGTAAGCCTCCTCCTACCTCCTGCCCTTTCCAAGGAAGAGTTTGATGTTCCTGTGCCTGGGGGGAGGGGTACTCACAAACGGGGCTGGGAACCAATGGAATCCCAAGATAAGTCAGGAGCTGGCTAGAGTGGGAACACCCAAGACCATGGGTTATCAGTGTGGGTGCAAGACAAAATCCCTTCAGTCAGTCCTCTTTATGACTGAAAGCTTTGCATTTTATTGGCTCCTCTGTACAACAAACAAAGCTATATTCTCTTATAGCTCTTAGAGAAACTACCTGGCAGAATATGCTAGGCAGTAATGGCATTCCCAGGGCAGCTTGGAGATAACCTCAGCTCATTGCCGTACACTCTGCTCACCAACACAGACTGGCCTCCTTGAGACTAAATAGGTTCAGATGTCTCTCAAGTGCCATCATTAGCAAGTTAAGGAGGCAGAGGAAAGGGGAGGTGGAGTGGGGGGGCTGGGATGCTCACCTTGGATGTCTGCTCTGCCTCAGGCCCTGGTCCTGGTAAACAATAAGATCTCCAAGATCCATGAAAAGGCCTTTAGCCCTCTGCGGAAGCTGCAGAAACTCTACATCTCCAAGAACCACCTGGTGGAGATTCCTCCCAACCTGCCCAGCTCCCTGGTAGAGCTACGCATCCATGACAACCGTATCCGAAAAGTACCCAAGGGCGTGTTCAGCGGGCTCCGCAACATGAATTGCATTGGTGAGAGTAGTCTGTACCTTGGCATCAGGCATAAAGGAGACAGGTAGAGGAGATTTCTTCCAGCCAGGACAGCTGGGTCCTGGACTGTCCTGTGCAGTCATGGAGAAGCCCTGTGTGCCTCAGAATGTTCCAGATGGTTGTTTCAGGACATGATGAAGGAGACTGGGGTGGCTACAAAGGCTCAGATTTTTTTTCAAGAAAAAAAATCTCAAACATAGTATAAAAGAAGACCAGTATGTTTCTGAAAAAAAAAAAAAAAAAAAAGAGTTATCATTGTGGGTAAAGGGAAGGTATAGGACACAGAAAGACTGGACTGATAGAGAGAAGAGAGAAGGGCAATGCATCACCACAGCAGCAGGAATTGGGTGGCTTTCTGTAAGCCCTGACTTTATTTCTGGGTCTCCACACTTTCCTCTTGTTTCCCAGATCCCGGAGTCCAAGAACAGTTCCAAAGCCCTTGAGCTAGGCTTCTTGAACAGCTGGAGTTTGTATTTAGTTAGCTGGGCAAATTCATAAGCTGCTTTCTAAGGAGGTAGGAAGAACCAGTGATCAGCAAAGCTCCAGTTCAGAAAAGAACAGGCTCTGGTGCTATATGTGACAACACTGACCGGCTCCCAGGCTGACAACACTTCTCTCCTAGAGATGGGTGGAAATCCCTTGGAGAACAGTGGCTTTGAACCAGGAGCCTTTGATGGCCTGAAGCTCAACTACCTTCGCATCTCAGAGGCCAAGCTCACTGGCATCCCCAAAGGTAGGAAAGTGTCAATACCCGACCTCCAGGAGCACTGATGGGGGTTTGCCCTCTGTGCTTAAGCAGGGCCTTCCTCTTGGAGCAGAGAGCAGGCCTTCTACCTGCCCCAGACCCTGCACTTACCTCCCAGCATGCTCTCTTCTGGGTAGATCTCCCTGAGACCCTGAATGAACTTCACCTGGACCACAACAAAATCCAGGCTATTGAGTTGGAGGACCTACTTCGCTACTCCAAGCTGTACAGGTGGGGCTGGGGTAGCCCTTGGGGGCTGCAGGGAACCATTAGCCAATAGGGCAGTTTATGGGGTGGCACCCAAGTCCTCTATCCCAGAGTTCTAGTCTCCTCCAGCCTCTGATAGCCTCTCATTCATCTATCTTCAGGCTTGGCTTAGGCCACAACCAGATCCGGATGATTGAGAATGGGAGTCTGAGTTTTCTGCCTACCCTGAGGGAACTTCACTTGGACAATAATAAGCTGTCCCGGGTACCCGCTGGCCTGCCAGACCTCAAGCTCCTCCAGGTATGAGCTGGCTCTCTAAGAGTGGGTGGGGTTGTTGCAGCAACCTCTTAACTGCCTGGATCCCCTTGACCTCTCTTTTACAGGGGCCCAGGGTAGAGAGCAGAACAGGGACCTAGATTCTCCTCTGGGTGTCATGGCCTCATCCAAACCTCACTGGAACAGTGCCCACTCCCTCTTTGCAGGGAGGCAGTGCTAACTCCCATTTGTGGGTTATCTGAGGAAGAGGAGTCTTCCTCCCTGACTTAACTTCCAACCACATGGGTAAACTAGGTCTTTTCCAACCTTATTTTGAACCTCAAATTTTATCTCAGCTCCATTCATAAAGGAAGAAAGCACATTCACCCTCCCCTAGAGCCATACAAGCCAATGCCAGGCTGAGACCACCCTCTAGTGGCCAGTAGCCTTTCTAACACCAGTGAGCTCCTAATGTAAGGCACCGTATTTCCTACACAGATACCATGTCAGGATCAATGTTTCCTACGGCCTCAATTTACCAAACACAGTCCCTACCCCACCCATCCCAACTCACCACTTGATTATACCCTTTACATGAGCTCCTCATCCTGACCTGTGTCTAGCCAAACACCAATGCCCTAATCACAGCCAATATCCACTAACATACTTGGGTATGTCCTCCTTTCAACTGTGGGAAAAATCACCAGGTGGCCTTCAAAGGATGACCATGAAATGACACTAAGAAGTGACTGACAGCATCTAATATGGAGGCAGGCTTGACCCTTCTTACTACATCTATCCTCCATCTTGTCCACAACTTACAGCACCTGCCCAGGCTGGGACAGCTTGGGATGGGTGGTCTATGGCACTGAACCCTAACAAAAAGCCTGCATCTGCTCTGCCCCCAGGTGGTCTATCTGCACTCCAACAACATCACCAAGGTGGGAATCAACGACTTTTGCCCCATGGGCTTCGGAGTCAAGAGGGCCTACTATAATGGCATCAGCCTCTTTAACAACCCTGTGCCTTACTGGGAAGTGCAGCCAGCCACCTTCCGCTGCGTCACTGACCACCTGGCCATCCAGTTTGGAAATTACAAGAAGTAGAGGCAGTGGTAGCCACCATGGTGGCCTTGGTGAGAGTCTCCGAAGGAACATAGCCTGATGTTCCACAGGGGAAGGGGAAGCAAAGAAGCAAAGCCCCAAAGACAACACCTTTGTTCCCCAACATTAACTTCCTGCTCCACCACAGCCTCTCCCTGGCTCCCCAGCATGCACATATACACATGGCCTTGCCCCCTCATCCATTCCCCTCAGCTTTTGAGATTTAACACTCATTCATATTGTCCACTCAAGGATTCTCTATTCTTTCTTCTTGTTCATCCTGAAATTCAGATTTCTGTGGCAGGAGGGGTAGCAAAGTTAGACACAGCACACTGCCACAACTACTGTTCCATCCAGGCATATGTTATTCCTCTTCCTCACCCACATCTGATTTTTAGCTCTCCTGGTCCTTTCCTGCTGCCCTTGGCAGCCACCACCTGGCTCTACTAACTCCTGGATCAGTCTCTCTTTCCAAGCCTGTTATGCTTCCTGGCATGTCTCTTCCTTCTGGGGTTGTAGATCTGTCCCCTGTCGTCTCTCTGGACCCAGTTCATCTCTCTCTCTCTCTCTCTCTCTCTCTCTCTCTTTCTCTCTCTCACCCACTCTTTGTCTCTGTATCTCTCTGCATCTATCTCAGTCTTCTCTGGCTATTTCTGTTTCTCTCTCTCTCTCTCTCTCTCTCTCTTACATACATACACACACACAAACACACACACACACACACACACACACACACACACACACACACACACAATGACTGTCTGCCCCAGGCTGCTTTCTGCTTCACAGGTCTCTGGCCAGTCCCTGCACAAAAAAAATCTGGGGCAACTATCTCCCTGATTGCCCTGCCCATCACTTGATCCCCAGCCCTGGAAGAAGCTGGAAGGTGGAGGCCCAGAATCCTTTCTATACTATCCAGGAAAGGGGCCATACTTTGTTATCAAGATGGGGAGCAGGAAGCTTCCCAGCCCCTGGAGAGGCTCAGCAGGCCACCAGAGCCCCCAGTTTTTATTGACCCCTGCCCTTTACCCAAGATGGCTAGGTCCCCCTCCCTCAATCCTGGGTCCCTTCTGTGGGAGAAGTTGGTTGGTAATCAGTTGCATCCAGCAGGAGGGAGTGCTGCTTATGAGGTCAGTTGTCTTTCAATTAAAGAAACACTGTGCAATATGACTCTGTGTGCCACTTCCCTGGGACATCACTGGGAATCAAGAGAAGAGCAGAGGTGAAACAAGGGCCTCCTCAGCCCACCTCAAAGGCTTTGCATTTCCATGTTCACCTTCTAACATTTGTGCTTCCTCTTTGTTGTTGTCCTTGCCCTCAGAAGAAGGACCTCCTCACCCTCAGTTCCAGAGCTATAAAAACACATCCTAAGTGACCACATGGGCCCAGGCCCTGTCTGATTTCCCCTCCTTTTTTGGTTCTTCCATTGCCTCAACTGTTCTTAAGCTGAACCCAAAACTCAGGCCACACCTGGGGTGCCATCTCCCCTCCCAGAGTGGAGCATTTGCAAAATACCTGTTGGCTACGGAATATCAACCTAGGTCTCACTCCCTTCAGGATGGGAGCATCAATAACCAAGCAGAAAGAGTCCTGTCTGCCTGTCTAAATGGAATTCAGAGAAAAGCGTAATGCTAGAATCCTGTTGCAGTCTGGGCTATGACCAGTACCTGGAAAGGGCAGAGAGGAGGAGCCCTTGGCATTAGGCAGCATATTGGTGCAGCTACTTGGGCCAGCCTGCTTTCCCACCCAGCACCCCACAGATCCCTGAGAGCTGAGAGCAGGCTGCAGCTGAATCCTGAGGGAGATTCTAGTTTGGGTCCAGTGGGGACACTAGCTTCTCCCAAAAGGAACAGACTTCCAGAGCGCTAAAGTTGGCTTGAACTAAGACCAAGGCCTCCTGCTCAAGTCATAAGAACTGGGGCTTCCCTATGCAGTGGCAGCCAGCCAGCAAAAATAGAGCAGCCAAGGCCAGTGTGAGTGACAGGCCAGAAGGGTGCACTCAGAGACATTGCTTGTGGATTCTCCCACACAGCCATACCCTCCTGGCCTGTTAACCAGGGCATCCAGTGTCTGTCCCCAGGTTTCTCCTTTTTTGGGGGTGGGAGGTGCTACTCAGTGTGGTGGCCCAGCGATAGAATGTCACCCAGCAGCATCATAGCACTATTCTGGGGCATGTGCTCCACAGCCTGGCAATCTCTGCTGAGCTGGGCAGACACAGGGCAAGGGCACTGGCCAAGAGCCAGGAATCAGGGCCTCAGTCCTGTTCCTATGCTGGTGGGAAGGAGGGGCAGGCAGCAACGAGCCCTCATAGAAACAGAAAGATGAAACCCTCAGTGTGTTTCTCTAGGGGCTGTTCTTGGGGACAGGATTCACTTCAACAGATCCTCCATAGCCCCACTGCACCCCACCCCCAATCTCTCTCTGGCTGTTCACTTTTTTTTTTTTTTCATTTGGCTCTCTCATTTCAGGAAAGTTTACAAGTCTATCCTCTTCAGGTCTCAAATCAGGTACCCAGTAGGTCAGTGCCACCACCACCAGCTCAAGGGACAAATCTTAAGTTCAGAGAAAAGATTCCACAGACAGCTCAACACTATCTAGACCAAAGGCTTCAAGGCCCCAGGCAGGAGCCCATGAGACTGGTAGGTCACAGTTAATGGGTGGACTCCATCTTATAGCACTTGGTCTCGGCTACAAGGATAAAGTCCTCTGCCTTGGGACTAGAGACATGGCTCAGCAATTATGAACATTTGCTGTTTTTGCAGAAGATCCAGGTTTGGTTCCCAGCACCCACATTGGGTAGCTCACAACTAGAAGATCCAAATTTCCTCTTCTGGGTACCATATGCCCTCTTGTGTACATACCAGGCTTGCACATGGTACACATATATACACTTGGGCATATACACATAAAATAAGAATAAATATATCCTCATATATATTTAAATTGTTCAACCTCACTCTACTATTGAGTGCGTTTCAAATTATTAGGCAATACTGAACTGAAAAAAAATCACCAGGTGAAACTAGGTGTGGAGGTTGCACTCTCTAATCCTAGCACTTGACAGGTAGAAGCAAGAGAATAAGGAGTTCAAGAATGACCTTGGCCACATGAGACTTGGTCTCAAAAAAAGCTCACAGTTACATTCAAATAGTCCCTGGAACCCAGCAGTCTCCCCTACTTTCATTTTCATTGGGTTGGAAAGTAGGGTTATATCCTGGGCACTGGCTTTGGCTGTGATTCTGCAGAGGACAAGTTCCAGCCCACCGTTTGCTTGAGTATGAGTTCCTGGACAGACTTTGAATAAAAAAATGAAAGGAAGAGCATATTGCAGGGTCATGGCACCAAAGCAGCCTGATGTGCTAAGCAGGGAACAGTGTGGTAAGGGGGAAAGAGCTGTGAGCATTAGAGCTACCAAAGGCAGTGGACATGTTCATATGGAACTCAAAGCACAGACCACCTGGGCAGCCATCAGACTGTTGAGCATTCACATGTGCACACATGAACATACTGAGACAAAAATACAGAGATGCACACACAAACACACAAGCTTGTGCATGAGCATGCATGAATATGTGCAAATATATGAGCACACATGTACAGAGAGAAACACATGCACATAGTACAAATTAACACATACAAAAGTATATACAAGCATATACATAAGCACATATGTACACACAAGCCTGTATATGAAGACTTCTATGCTTAATGTGCACAGAAACTTAGGTAAATACACACTAATGATACACGATGTATACATACATGGACACATGAACATACATCAAGCAAACATATACCTACATGGGTATGCCCATTCATGCACTACAGAGAACCTCATAGACACGTGAGTACATAGAAGTACATACACATATGCACAGTTATGTATGTCAATGGAAACAACTGTTCCATAAACAGGGTAGTCGCCAAGGAGTAGCCTTTGAGAGGCATGCAGCTGGGAAAAGGGATTGTTTTCTGAGCACTTACTACAGGTCAGGTGCCTTATGCATTTAGTGGGTCCCAGCTGGAGCCTAAGCCAAATCCACTGCTTAGGTTTAAACAAGTCAGATCTTGTAGAAGGGGCAATTGGCCAGGCATCCTGGCCCAAGAGCTAGATGGAAACAAGGGCCCTGGGGAGAAAATCCCTCCTTAAGAGTCTGAAGAAAGGAAAGAAGGTGAAGGGTCTAGGATTTGGGGCAGGAGGGCTGCTCTGAGAGTGTGGACTGTAAGGTCTCCCCATGGTAGAGGTCTTGTTTCCCTGGGCTTCTGAGGGACACACGTACCCTGTGAACCCAAAGAATCCAACGTAGCATCATCCTGAAGAGCCCCAGTGTCCACTGGATAGGGGGTGACACTGAATAAGGGGTGAAGGGAAATACAATACACACGCACACCCACACACATACACACAGCTGACCAGAGCTTTCCAGAAGTTCCAAGTGTGTAATCTGGAATCTACTGAGGCCAAGCAGGCTGGGAAGTTGCAGGTATGCAATGACCACTCCTTTAATCCTTTGAAAGTTGAGGTTTATGATTATCCTGGGACATTTATGACAACTTTTTGGAGATGACAAAATACACCATAACTTGTTCTTTGTGGTTTAGGGGTTATGTTGGCAGAGAGGTACTCCTTGATGAGGTCTAGGAGAATGCATCTTGCCTCTTGCAGCTCCTGGTGACTCCTGATGCTCCTTGTCTGTGGCTACTTCACTGAAACTTTGCAGTCCATGGTCTCTGGATCTATGTGCACGGGAAATTCTTCTCTGCCTCTGTCTTAGAAAGACACTCTCATCGCACACAGGGCCTGCCTAAAGCACCAGAGGGCATCTTCTCAGCCCACCATCATTCATTTAATCACATCTGCATAGACCCCGTTTTCAAATAAAGCCCATTCCAGATATGGGAATTAGCCAGGAGGACTAAAGGTTGACACTGACCCTGAAGCCTTGGAAAGGAGCTATAGTATCAGCCAGAAAAGAGCAGAGATGAAAGGAGGAATAAATCAGGACCCACCAGAGGGACAAGGCATCTGGGTCCAACCAAGAAACTGCCACCCCAGAGGAGCCTGTGACAGCCACAACAAGTGGCAGAAGGTAATTTGAACAGGCAAAGGGCATGGTCTAGAGTTCAACATAAACAAGGTGGGAAGCCATAGGGTAGAGAGGGGTGCTTTGGTGGCAGTGACAGAGAATGGACTGAGGTCTCAGGAAAATGAGAGTGGCTGAGCACAAGGAGGCCAAGCTGGAAGGTATACAGCTGGCTGCTTCCTACAGGTTTTTTTAGGTGTAACTGACTTTTTTTGAGGTTGCCCAAGAGTAACCATCAACAACACAAAAGAGGACCAAGATTAGATCCTGTAGTGGCAGGACCAGACACAGCGTGCGTAAGGGAAGAACCAAGAGGAAAAGACAGAAACAGGAAGGGAGCAGAGCATCTGCTTAGCGGCTGTCCCTATCATGGACATCTCTGGATCTAGCTCCCTAAGAATTCCTAGTGCAGCGAACTGGGCCAGGGCTTGGTGGAAGGAGGAACTTTCTAGCAAAGGCCACTAACAGCAGGTTCCCCCCTCTTTTCACTCTAGAGCCAGGGCCTTCAGCACTGGCACAGAAGGACAGTGACATCAAGGATCTCAATACACTGTGCAGGGCCACAAAGGGGACTTCTTCCGGTGACATATCATGACTTCCCCCCACTCCCCACGAGCCTCTGCTTGTTTATGGAGAATGTGGGGTGGTCAAAGAAGAACAACTGGAAAGTGGCCAGCTCTGGCGCCTGCAGCCCAGAGTTACTCTTCAGGGAAGTGAGGGATGGTTCCACTTTTAGCCCCCATATTCTAGGCAGTGGAAGTCATGCGGAGTACCAAGAGGCTTTCAAGTGTACCCAGTCCCTAAGGCACCACTTGCTAATTGCAAGCATGCCCAAATTCCAGGATAGCCATGGAGCCTCTAGCAGAGCTACAGCCAATGGCAGCGTGCTGGGGGTTTGCGAGCTTTCATATGAAAGACAACCAGTGCCCAGGGAAAACCGCCATCATTGCAAGAGAAAAAAAGTGTGTGTGTGGGGGGGTGCACTGTAGCGTGTGACCAAACATGTGAACAGGAGTGTCAGAAAAAGTGAATGAGCTTGAGTGTGGAAAGAAACTAAGTGCTCATGTGTGGATACCTCTGTGTGTGTGTGTGTGTGTGTGTGTGTGTGTGTGTGTGTGTGTGTATGTGTGTGTGTGTGAAAGAGAGAGAGAGATAAACTCTGTGTGTGTGTGACAGTATATGCCGTTGGATATCAATAAGTATGTATGGGTGACTGTATGCAGGCCAGCTCATGTGAGTGTGAGAAAATATGTGTAAATGACCTTCTGTGATAAGTGAGCATGTGACTCTGTGTAACACATGAGTATGTGAATGTAGGTATCCGTGAACCTGTGAGTGGTGCTTAACTAGTGTGCGGGGTGTGAGTGAGCATGTGTGTGAGTTTGGAGAACAGGAGGTTGTATGGGTGCACTCGTGAGGATAGGTGTTGGATGAATGTGGCATTCGGTAAGCTCACAAGTATGCATATTGGGTGACTGTAATGTAACTGAACACTTGAACGTACCTGTCAGGGGAGTGTAGGTGGGCGGTGAGCAAGTGAGTGTGCACTTGAATGTATGTGTCAAGTGATTGTGGGCTGGGGGGTGGCATGTGCGTGTGCATGGCAGTGAATGTGGGTGGAGTTGATATATGAGAGCAGGCAGTTGACCGAGTGTGTGATGGGGATGGGGATGTGACTGTACATGTTGGTGACGATGGGTGGGTGTGAATGTGTATGTTAAGTGTGGGTAGGTGTGAACAAGTGAGTGTGTAGGTTCTGTGTGGGGGGGGGAGGCAGATACATAAGTGTGTATGTTGGGTGAATGGAGGGTATGGGCGAGCATGTGATTATGTATGTTGGTGAATGTGTATGTTGGGTGACTGTGGGTTGGGCTAAGTACAGGAGTGTGCATTTTGGTGACTGTGGGTGTGTGTGAAGCAGTAAGCATATATGTTGGGTGAGTGTGTGGGTAAGCACATGAATGAGCATGTTGTGGATGGGGTGGGTGTGAATACGAGTGCTCATAATGGGTGAGTATGAAGTGGCTGTGTGAGTGTGCACGCTGGTGAGTGTGGAGTGGGTGTGAATGTGGGAGTGTTCACATTGTCTGAGTGTGGGTGGCTGGATGGGTGTGTATGTGGCTGTGCTAATAGTCGGCCTGTGCTGAGGAGTGCCAGTATCATTCTTGGCTTTGTAGGACACCAGGTCCCACTGGTTTTCCCCTAGAACTAGCTGCTTCCTGTGGGGAAGGGCTGGCAATAGGGGTATGATCTCTGGCCCAGGGTGAGACCGCAGCAAGGCAGTCCTTGTTCTTTAAATGGGTGTCTTACATGGTGGCAGCGCCTCAAAATAATAATAATAATAATAATAATAATAATAATAATAATAATAATAAATTTTTAAAAAAGCCTTCTTTGAGCCCCGGGGCACATTATGTCATCCCGTCATCCTCAGTTAATGGTTTCCCCATATCCCTTATCCCAACTATCTGAGCACTCACTGCCTACCAACTGCTCCCTTTCAGTAGACTCCATTATATCCCTCATCACCTAACCCAGCCTAGTGCATAGGCTCCCTTAGTGCCCTGGGTGTTCAGGCTTCTCCGTCTCTCTCTTCAGCAGCTCCAGCAGGCCAAGTTACCCCAAGGTTTGGCTCATAGCCTTCTCAGAAGTTCAGGCCTTCTCTTCAGCCTCCTCGCCTCCTACCTCTGTTCACAGACCAAAGCAAGGTGGGGTCAGAGCGTCTGCTGTCCCAGCAGCTGGCAAGTTCAGTGCTGCAAAGACTAGTGGCAGGTGCAGCTCCAGGAACACACATGGTGCATGAGTGTTGGTGGGTACACGTGGGTGACTGTCTAGAGTATCCTCTGTATCCGTCTGTGGGTGTCCACTTGGGTGCAGCATCACCCACTTTGTCCTGGAAAATGGTGTTCATTCAATAACCTTTAGGGTCATAGAGTGAAAATCTGTTATAAGTCCCAGCTTCCCTCTGGGGAAATGTATTTGGATGCCTGCACTCCCAATGCTTATCAGGCAGTTTCAGATAACCAACCACCAATCACAGGAACCCACCAAGAGCCCAGAGACCCCATGCTACAAATCAGCTCCAATCCCAGAGGGTGGAGAGGGTCCTGAGAAGTATGGCAACCTGCTACTCCAGTCACATGCAAGGGAGGGGGGGCTTTTTCTCTGCACCAGCAGCTTCTCTCAGCCCCCACTTTCCAACCACGCCCACCGCTATTCTGCCAGTGTCCTTGGAGGGCCATGCCAGGCTAGGAAGTGCTGGCATTCCCTCGCATCCTGGGAACAGAAGGGCGCACACCGGGCACAAGGCTCAGGAGCACCTTGTCCCCAGAGTCTGTTCGCCAGTGCACTGCCCCTCCATCCACTGCTCCTCCTCCTCTACCACCTCCTCCTCCACTACCACCACCACTACCACCAGCACCACCAACCCTCCCCCCTTCCACCAGCTCCTCCACCATCACTACTACCGCTGCAGCGGCCACCACCACCACCACCACCACCACCACCACCACCACCACCAGCTCCCTCCCTCCCCCACCCCTTCCTTCCTCCCTCCCTCCGCGCTCAGAGCTGCGGCTGGAGTCAAGCGCGCAGCGTCGCCAGCCGCTGCAGGTGCGGATCGTGGGGAGCACTGGGCAACAACCATAGCCTGCCGCGGAGGGTCCTGCTCCGCACTGCTGGCCAGGCTGCCCAGTGCCAGGGCCTTTCAGTCTTTGGAGCGGATCGCTGTCACCGGGAACCCTCCCGCAGCAACAGCAACAGCCAGAGCAGAGGCCGCGGTGGCGGCTGTGCCCATGCCGGGGTAAGTGGTGCCGTGGCGCACAGTTGGGCGCAGAAGGGGTGGGCGCGCAAGCAGGCGGGGGCGAGAGGGCGGCCCGGCAGGTGGCGCGGCGGCTGGTGGGGGTGGGGGGTACGAAGGATCCCGCCCAAGGCACCTGCTCCCTACTCCCTACGGGCTGGGCCTGCGTGTCCTTGCGGCACCACGGGCGCGCGTCACCCCGGGGCCTCAGAGCTGGCGGGCAGCGCCCTGCACCCGCACCTGTACCTTCACCCGCACCCTGCACCCGGCATCTCACGCGCACGCGCATCTGTGTCTAGGGAACAAGGACGCTGGGGGCTGCAGGCTGCGGGCTGCGGGCTATGGGCTACGGGCTGGGGCTCCAGGCAGGCACAGCCAGAGACGCCAGGCCTGGGCCAAGAGTCTAGCCTCTACGCACACACCTTCCCAGGGCCTCGAGGTATCCCCTCCCCCGCCTCCTAGCACTGTATCATCCTTCCCCTCACATGTTCCAACACTGTCCCCTGCACGCCCACATAGCTGCACAGCTGACCCTGCCACTGGCATGGGCAGTGCCACCGGCAAGTGGCAGAGTCACACTTGAACAAGTCCTTCATCTGTGCCAACAGTTGCCTTCCCCTCTTCACCTGTGTGACCTTGGCCAGAGGGTTTCTGTGATGGGAAGACTCGGTGTTCTTGGGGTTGAAGGCTTCAGCTCTGCTATTCTGGGAGGTGGAGCCACTGACAGCATCTCTAGAGCCCAAGAAGACCTGCTCCTCTTTCTATGACCTGGTCTCCCTAGCCTCCTGTGAGCTACTATGGGGCTTGGTGACTCAGCCAACAGAGGAGATGCAGAAGGCAGGGTCGGGGGTCAGAGTTCTGGTTCCTTACCTGAGCAGGACAGATAGGCAGGAACTCCTAGACTGGGAGCTCTGGCCAAGGGCTCAAGGAAGGGAGCAGAGTATGCAAGTCCCCTTCTGTCACTCTCCTGCTGCAAGGTAGGCAGGGCCAGGAGCTCCCTCTCCCCCCTGAATGTTTGCCACTCCAAGGACAGACCCTGAATGAGGCTGCTACTTCTTTCACAGATGGGGCCTTGGGTTTCTGGACGAAAGTGGGTCCTGGCATGCTACAAAATCAAGTCCCCACCTCATTCTCCCCTAGTTCTCTACAAGGAGTTTGCCTCCAGCCTAGCAGATGACACCTGCACAGACACCCATAGCTCCAGGCTCTGGGTCTTTGCTATTGCCCCTCCTTAGGATGTGACCATTTAATCTACATGAACTTCTCTGGTGCCTAGCACAGGCCTGGCAGAGTGGGCACTTGGTTTTTGTGTGGCACATTCATGACCTTGATCCTGCTGAATCTGAAGACTCACTAATGAGATGCAATGCCTTGATTTCTGTCCCCATTTCCCAGATAGGATCGTTGAGGCCCCAGGAGGGCAAGAGACTTGGCAGCACACTGAGGTCATAGATGGAGATTCCTTTGTTTTCTGTTTGTTTTGTTTGAGCTAGCTAGGGTTCTCTGGTAGATCTATGGGGGTGTTATATGAATAATACCATATCACTCCCTTTCCTGAGCATCTTTTACATCCACACATGATTCTAAGCAGGTTCCAAGACCCCTAGTGGAGCTTCCATCAACCATCCTCATGAGCTGATGTGTTTACACCCACCACCACAACCCTTCATAGTCAAGGAAACTAAGGCTTTCTGGCCTGGAGAGGAGACCTTGGAGGAGTGGTCCAAGAGCTGCCAAATTCTACCAGGACCCAGATTAGGCCTAGCAGAAGAGCCCAAGGGTGAATCTGAACCATCAATTCTGCACCAGAACAGAGAGCTGGTCAATCAGAAGGAAATGGGCACTTGTGGTCCTGGGGCATCGATTGCCTGCCACTAGCCTCAAGGCAGGAGAGGGCCAAGGGCACAGGCAGTCTTGATCAGCTCCACCTGGTCCAATCCCAGCCCTGCCAGGTGGTTTGAGTAGAGGGCAACCATGCTCTGGCACAGAGAAAGGGAGGAAGGCAGATTGGAGCAGCGTGGGTATGGGAGGGGGTTCTGCTCAGAGCCAGAAGGAGAGCCAGTCCTTGGGGAGGGGAGTCCCCAAAGCTAGAAGCATGCTTGGAAGTGTGCCAGCTTCAGTATAGAGGGAATGCCATTATGAGCACCTAGGGGCAAGCAGGGGCACCAGCAGCCTGTAGCAGACACCCATCTTGGTCTCTAATGACAGGAGCTCCAGGGTATCTGCCACCTCTATGCCTGATGATTTTCATGACCTTGACTGAGTCCCTTTCCTTATCCAAATCTGGGGACAGGGTGCACCTTGCAGGTCCTGCACTGCCATTTCAGGATCCCTAGCTGGAGATGCTAAGCTGAATCATTTGGAAAAGCAGAAGAGCTGAAAAGCTAGCTAGTGAGTGAGCAAGACAAAAGTGAGCAGGAGAGACAAGCCTGTGGATCACTGCATACTCTTTATTCCAGTTTGGCCCAGCCATCCAGAGAGGCAGCCAAAGTGGGCCATGATGAGCTGCTAAAGCCCCTCTGAGTATGGCTGCTGTAAGGTAAGCTTGGTTGAACTCTTAAGAGCTAATGCAGCTATGTCCAACTTCCTCCAGCCATTTGCCCTGCTCTGCTCACCTCTCAGAGCAAGTTAGTGTAACATATTCCCTTCCAATTTTAAGCTGGTGGATTCTGTGATTCAGTAATAGCTGTTGTCTCCATCCTAGGTTACTGGCACATCAAATGGCAATAATGACAGCACTAACAATGGAAGTCATCTTGTACCAGATAGTGTTCTGAGTGCTCCACAGACATCCCTTGTCCTGCCCTTCAATAATAACTGAATAAAGCAAGTGCTATTATCATCTACATTTGAAAGTTTATCAGACTGAAGCCCAGAGAAATTAGGTAACTTGCTCAAGGTCACCCAGCTAGAGGATGGCAAAACCAGGACTGATTTATGTACATAGCCATCTGTTATGATGTCTCCAGACGTTTCTTCTGTTGTCTCTAGAGGTATGTGTTGAACTTTACAGCAGGGAGCACTGGCTGAGCTGACTGTCTGGGGAACCATTCTGGGTGAAAACTATGACTTCTTAAGAACATCCTGCAGCACAGGAGCTGAGATATTGGTGTCCCCACTCCATGTCTCCACTGAGAGAAATGGATAAAAGGTGATTTCTACCCATCCAAAGCACATAGAGAATGATTATCTATGTGATGCCTTCGGGGACGCACATAAAGATAATGGATGGGGACCTGGACTGTGGCACTGAAGCCCCCCTTGAAGCCTCTCCAGTGCTATCTCTGAATTCAGAGTGAGCCCTAGCTGTACCCCAGGCTGTGCATGGCAAATGGAGACCTGCAATACACAGATTGCATTGTCCCTGTCTTTTCCCAGCTCCTCACTGTCACCTTCCTCCCTGCCCTGACTGGACCAGTGTAAGCCAGGCCAACTGTGCCTGGCTAGAAGGCCCTCCCCTGCCAGGACACCTTATGTTGGGTGGGAGGTGCTGGCAGCAGGCCAGGGAGAAGCCTAGGGAGAAAGGTCTGGAGCACACATCACCAGGACAGAGAAAAGGAGGTTCTCAGATGTAGAAGAATTTGGGCATCTGAGACTGTGACAAGCTTGGGAGGGGAACGAGTCAAAGGTCACATGGCTGAGTACATGACAAAAATGAAATAGAGCAGACTTTTGGAGCTCAAAAGGTTCCCAGACACTTGTGCCCATACAAAATGTGTGCAAAGGGGGGATACTATCATTTACCTCAAAGTTTGTTTTTTTCTTTTTCTTTTTAAATATTTATTACTTTTATTTTATGTGTACGTGTGTATGCCTGAGTGTATATATGTGCACCATGTGGCTACACACCGTGTGCATGAAGGAATCTGTGGAGGTCAGATGAAAGCATCAGCTCCCCAAGACCTACAATTACAGGCAGTTGCAACCCACCATATGAGTGCTGGGAACCAAACTGGGTCCCCTGAAAGAGCGATAAGTGCTCTTAAATACCAAGTCATCTCTCCATCCTGAAATGTGCCTTTTTCAAAGAGATATAGAACCTGCTGTTCTTGGTTCTCCCAGGAAATGGACCACCATTCCTTCAAATGTGGCTCTTTCATGGGCCACAGTCTTCAGACACTTTCTAAATCAGCACTGTCTGATATGCCAGCTACTAGCCACAGTGTCAGTTTAAATTAAAATGAAATTACAAATTTCCTTTTTTGCTTGCACTGAACGTGTTACAAGTGCTTGGTAGCCTTATATGGCTACAGGCTTCCCTATTGGATGAGGAGGTATAAATGTTCCCATTGCTGTCTTATGGTGCCATCTCTTAGTATATGCAGACCTAAGTCCTGACATGGGTTCTAATGCCACCTGTGCTGCACTCCCTGTGGCTCAGGTTCTTCCACAACACCTACCAGAAATGAAGCCCTCAGGGAGTTTTGGGCACTCATGAACATTTGAGGAAGTGTTCTTTGATTAGCCAGGCTCTGACTGGCTGGCTTAACAACTGTGGACACAAGGTGCCAGGATGGGTTTGAGTGGATTGTCTTTCAAAATGAATGTGTTCCATTGTTGAGACGTAGCCAGTGATGCCAGGGAGCACATCTTATTGGTGTGATGGCCCTTGGGAATTCTGCCTCATAATCATTCAACCATATTTATAGTGGCCCCTGTGCCCTGTGTCTGGTTCTGTGAGGGCAGTGAGGAAAGCAAATGTGCTTCCCACCCTCGCATAGCAAATGTGCTTTACTGTGTTCATCAAAGAATCTGCTGCCACAGAAGCATCCAGCTGGCTGGATCCAGCAGCTTGGGTGGAGGCTGTGAGGCAAGGCTGTGTCTTTCAGGGCTTATACTTCAACTTTGGCCCTGCCCTGCCCTGCCCTGCCTGGCTTAGTAACTCAGATTTAGCTAAATAGTCTGAGCCCCAGTTTCTCAGGAGCCACGTGGGGCTGGCGGTTGCTAGATTGGTCATGGAAACTAGAAAATATAATGCTCAACAAGGTGCCACTCAAAGTCCC